CGCTCTCAATCAGGCGAATATGTTGTTATGTCTCTTACTCTCTAAGCAACAAGGTCTTGAGTCATCCTTCTTTCTCTTTCGGCCTCTGACGAGCTACCGCACCCAAACAAAGGAGTACCGTCAACCGCCAAAAGTGGTACCGTCATGCCGTCAAAAATAGTACCGTCATACTGCGTTACCGTCAAAAAAGTACCGTCAATAAAGTACCGTCAAAAAAACGAAGTACCATCAACCGCCAAAAACGTACAGTCATACTGCGGTACCGTCAAAACGTACCGAGAGGAGTCTACCAGCGTCATTCGCTGGTCACTTGATGATTAGTCGTCTAACAGAGTAAGTGGAGTTCTAATCCAGAATCCTGTGTTTTTATTGTCTATTTTTTTTTCTGCTTTTTCTTTGTTTTCCTGTTTCTCTTTGTCTTCGTTTGGTTGTATCGTTCTGGTTTGTTGCTTTTCGGTAGAAGAACCTCTTGAGTTGGGAAGAGGCGGAGTTGATGGTCGCAAGACCGCGGCCTGCAGCCACACACGCACACACACGGTCCCAGAGTTCGTGCGGTCCAGCAGAACCAGAAAGATGGCAGCTGTACAGGGGAATGCCGGCAGTAATAACAGCAGTAGTGTCGAGGGTGCTGGTGCTGCTGGCGATTCGTTGGGTGGGAATGCAAGTGAATCGGTGGCTACGGGCTTGCGAGTGTTGCAAACCCCACCCGAGACTCACGCCTCGGTCGACGCTGGCAAAGGCAAAACCGTGCAAGTCACACATCATGAAGAGCCTATGGAGGGCAAAAGGACTATTGCTCTTAGTAGGGCTTCCCATACTGTACTAAAAACAATTTTAGTACCGCTCTCCATACTGTACTAAACATACTGTTGCTTTTAGTACGGCTTTTCATACTGCTGTACTGATACAAACCTCAGTACCGATTCTCGATACTGTACTAAACGTACTCTGTGGCGTTTAGTACGGCTCTCCATACCGTACTAAGCGTACTGTTGAGTTTAGTAGGGCTTCCCATACTGTACTATAAATAGTTTTAGTACGGCTCTCCATACTGTACTAAACATACTGTTGCTTTTAGTACGGGTCAATATACTGTACTACCGGTACTGCTGCGATTAGCAGGGCTTGCCATACTGTACTAAAAATAGTTTTGGTACGGCTGCCCATACTGTACTAACGCGATGATAGTACAGCCCCCTATACTCTACTCAAAGTACGCTTTAGTATACGGGCCAACCGCCAGCTCAAGATCCGGCTACTCCAGGCTGAAGTGGTGGAGACTCTCCTGTATGGGTGCGCCTCGTGGAGCTTAACAGCGGAGCACTACACGAAGCTCAACGGGACCCACCGCCAGTTCCTTACACGGTGCATCGGCTGGAGCAAGCGGAAACGCTCAGACCGCCCCCTGTCCTATGCCCAGGCCCTCATCCAGGCAGGCTGCGAGGAAACCATCGAGGCCACCGTGCGCAAACGGAGACTGTGTTTCGCGGGCTTCGTTATGCGCATGGAGGACAGCCGCCTCCCCAAGCGCATGCTGTTAGGAGCGATGGCGGGGGGCGTGGGATACCGGGGCGGGCAGGAGAGCGACTGGGTGTCTCGTCTAGGAGAGGACCTCGTGGCCTTCAACATGAGAGACGAAAAGGAAGGGGGTGAAGGAAAGGGAGCGCCAAGGATCCGGAGGTGTGGTACAACAAGGTCGAGGACGGGGCGGCATGGTTCATGAGGAAATGGCACAGGCAGGAGGCGGAAGCGTCCGCGAAGCGCCAGCGCGCGAGGGAAGCAGAAGCAGGGAGTACGGCCATCTCAGGACCGAAGAGAAAGAGAGCCGGGGAAGCGGCGGTGGGGGGGAAGAAACGGCGACCGGGCACTGCTGCTGTAGAAGCGAGTAGGGCGGCCGAGGCAGCACTTGTGGCGAACTATGTACCCGGCTGATGTTGTTGCGCCCTGTTTCCTTCCCTGCTGTATGCTAATCTCCTTCATGTATGTCCTTGGTATTGCCTTCGGCCTCTGTGCTGTGTTTCTTTTTTTTTCATGACCTCCCTGCCTACTCTGCTGTGTTGGGTACCTTGATCTCGCTTTACTGTTGCTTTCGTTTTTTGTACATCTGGCTGTTTGCCCATCTGCCGCCTCTTTGTCCTGTTTGCTCCGTTACTCCCATGCCCTGGTGCGTAGTGCCTGGTGCTGATACGTTACCCTTTGATTTTTTCTTTGGGCGGGTGTGGGAAGCGTCCTCCTTTATTTTTGTTTTTTTGTTTTTTCTTAAAATGACACAACGAGTGAGTCCATCTCTATCATAGAAAAGAGTCAGAGACAGATTAACAATGGAATCATAGCGTCAGAGAAAACTACCTGTGTGTGTCTACGATTTCCCAGACAGCATATAGGGGCATCTCCCCTGTGGGTAACAGGCTCAACAAATCAGTTTGATTTATTTTGATCGGTTTCCGAGGGCTCTTTTCTCGAACGGTCGGTGCGGTACCTGTTCTTTGTTGTATCATTTTGTTTTCTTTTTCCGAGTGGTTTGTACCCTATTTTGGTTTTGTTTCCCCACGGCGTCGTATGTGCCGGGTTGAGACCACGGGCTCCCCATTTTTTGTGGACTATAGAGNTGTTGTATCATTTTGTTTTCTTTTTCCGAGTGGTTTGTACCCTATTTTGGTTTTGTTTCCCCACGGCGTCGTATGTGCCGGGTTGAGACCACGGGCTCCCCATTTTTTGTGGACTATAGAGCTAATGTGAGAAACAACAGCAAACAACAACAAATATCAGTCAAGTACCTGTTCTCATGATTTCTGCCAAAGGGCGTGTTGGTAACGTCACTATTCGGCAGAAAATTGTACAGTCTCGCCATACAGCTCGCTCCTGCGAGTGATCGTGGGCTCGTACGGGCGTGCTCGATAGGCTTTTGCTCGATAGGCGACCTTTTTCTTTTTTTCCCGGCGTTTGCCTTTTTTTTTTTCGGCGAAAAAAATTGGTGATCGGCTTTTTTTGTTTTCGGCGACGTTCGGCGACTGCATATCGTTTCTCGGTGAATCGTGTTTCACTTTCGGCGATTTTTTTCGGCTGGTATCTTTCGCGATTTACTTCATCTCAGCGACTTTCGCGACGTATGCATGTACTTCTAGTAACACAAACGAGCTGGTCGCGAGGCTGGTCGACTGCTGCGGAGATCACCTGTCGGCGATAGGCGAAATAATGTGTCCTTTTCATATTTTTCTACTGCCATGATGCTTGACTCTACACTCTACTGCCATGATGCTTGACATGACAACACTACAACACTAAACATGCAATACTCCGAACCCTCAGAATTCGAACAAATAATGAAATACGATACGATGGACTTCGAAGTTACGAAGTTACGAACCGCACCACCACCGCACACCGCACGCCCGCCCTACGTGCGGGAAAAAAACTGTAAATCTCGACAGGTTCTGACCCACCTACGACGTAAGACATCTACATGATAAATTAACTGAAACACTGAAACACAGGTCGTCAGTCGCTGTCTTCATCGCTGCTGTCATCGCTTTCTTCGTCGCTACCGCCGCCGTTGTTGGCATCTTCGGCGCCACCCCCCATCTCTGCTGAGCTACTCTGGGCCCGGCCCCTGTTGTACTTGAGCAGTACTGAAGCGCAAATACGGTCGCTGTACACGTGCTCTTGTCGCTCATTAAAGCAACACCGCAGGATGGAAAACACTCGTTCCATGAACGCAGAGGATGGTTGCAAGAGAGCAACATCCAACACCAAGGCGTGCCACGTAGGGAGCTTCTTCTTGTTGTCGTTCCAGAAAGCCATGTGGCCGTACTCGGCTTCTGTGTCACTGGCCGCCATGTAGAAGTCTTCCTTCTCCTTCAACAGCCCCCTGACCATCTTCTTCTTGACGAACGGGAGCACCTTGAGGGTGCGAATGGTGTCATCGGAGTACTTCCTGCCTTTCATGAACGTGAAGTCCGTGAGCTTCGCGGCCTTGAACACCTCCAAGGTCTTGGCGTCCCTCGCTTGGGAATGGCGTCCGATCTTGTCGTGTGCGTACTGGCGAAGGGGGTCCAGCGCGTCCTGCATTTCGCTCGCGAGCAAGTCACAAGTTGCCCCCTTCACACGCAAGGCATGGGGGTGTGCCAAGGTTTTAACATATTTGAAAACACGCGCGGACGGCAAGCGACTAGCGGGCACTTCTCACGCAAGTAACACACGATGTGGATATATATGTAAGTGTGGTGCCCTCTTCAACTCGCAATGCACACAATCTAGCGTGAAGAAGAGAAACTACAGCACAATAATTATCTCTCAGCTCACCAGGTCGTCTCCTTGGCCGATGTATTTAGCGAGAAGAGCAGAGACGGTGGGCAAGGAAACGTCGTTTGAGAAAACACCGTCTTCAGCCAGCTCGAGCTTGCTGCGGAACCGCTCCACGATGTTGTAAGTCTTGTGCGCCTGCCATCGTCAAAAAGTGGGCACCGAGAGCGGCGGAGTGGAAAACTAAGCGAAATTCATACGAATGTACAAAAAATAGATGAAGCAGCGAAAGAAACTACAACCACAAGAAAAAAGAAGCGCGAAATGTCTGCTTCTCACAAAATAATGTACCAATGGTTCGTCGCCCTCCAGGACGATAGTTGCTGAAGTCACGGAACGGCCGACGTCCACCATCAAAGCCAGCTGCATCTGAAGATGTAAGCTCTGGGTCTTGTTGTCGTCGCGAACTCGCACAAGCTCGTCCCTCATGAACTTGGCCGCCTTGCTCTTGTCCGTGTCTCCGCTCTCGTAGGCGGCGATGAACTCCAACACTCCAGGCCAGTTCATGGCGATCACGTAGTCCCGATCGAATCTGGAGCCCCACCGGTGCCCAGGCGTCGATGGGGCGCGGACTCCGACTTTCTCTTTGAAGAGCGCCTTCGCTCCAGCGCTGTGCGAGAGCAGGGTGTGCATTTTGCCAAGGAACGCGTCCAAATCCAGGCTGCTCAGCTGCTTGCCGATGTTGTTGAACGTGTGGGACAAGCAGCCGATGACGATCGCGTATCTGAACAACTTCGCCAGTGCGTCCATCGCTAGGAGGTTTGCCGCGCAGCTGTCACCCATGATGGCTCGGCACTTGTCCGGGTCGAGGCCGTACTCATGGGTGACGATGCGGTTGACCTCACCAGCAATGTCGCTCGCCGTCATGCTCTTCTTCAGCATGCTCAACCGCAGAACGCGCTGTGCCACCTGTCGAGATGAGGTCAAAACATAGACGCGGCGGGAGAGGGGGCACAGGAACTGGGTCGTTTCGGGGGTTCTGCAAAGCTTACCTACTGTTTTCACGTCGAAATCGATACCGTCGGACTCTGGCATGACGAAGAACCTCCGAGGACGAACGGCAACATGAACATTTTATTTACCTGCCCACTTGAGCCGATGAACCGAACCCCAACCCCGAAGCACTCGCAGAGGTAAGGAGTGGCGTCGAAGCACAGCGCGTAGGGTCGGTCGCCAATCTCACCTCGCACCTTGGCTTGGTTTTCCCGAAAATGACCAAGACAGAGCAGGGACACAAGTGTTTGAGTATTATTAAGTTCATCACCCAGATTTTGAATATGCACTCGTCTACGCTACCGTCTTGCAAAACAAACACAGCAAGCACAGCGCTCCTTTGTTATTTATTGTTCACTGTATTTTCCTCACCTCCTCCTCGAGGATCAATGGTATGTGCTTAGCCAGATGCCCGGAGTGAGGCAAATTCACGTTGAAGTGCGCGAGGAACGCCCCGAACACAGGGTTGCCCAGCGCGTTTAGCGGAATAGCTGCCGCCAAACAACCTTTCACCGCCTTGATCTGTGTGAGCTTGTCCTTGTCGGACAGCGTGTCTCCGTAACTCCCTCCATCCTCCTCGGAGCGCTTAGCGAAAGCGCGGAGCGTCCCCTGTAGCGAGGAAACGAACACACACAGCAGGACCGAAAGCGTAAAAGCGTAGTCCAATCGTTGGTTGTGGCGTGTGGGATTGCGCAGTCTACAATCTCGAGGACAAGGTGACGCAGCGAAGCAGCAAAGGAAACAACTGCAAAAAGGTAGAGAGAATATAGATCATGCAAACGGCTGAGGTCTACAATATTGGTGTGTTGAACTGCTGTACCACTACAAGCAAGCTCACTTTATCCTCCTCATCTGTCGCCAGCATTATCGCCACCCTTTTCTGGTGCTTCTTCCCCTTGATGTGGTCCTTCACCCGGTAACTGTGCAGGCTGACTTCCTTGCCGAAGCACGCACGGCAGCCCATCTTCCCAGTGTTGATCATGTAGAAGGTTTGGTTCGGGAACTCTTTGATCCGGTCATGAACTGGTACCTGGGCATCTTTCTTGGGGGTTCTCGTGGCCATGGCTCCCCGACTGTCGATATTCCTGCCTGCCCCCTCCGCGACGTTGGCATGTGCCCGCCTCCGTTGGGCCAGGCTGACGACCGCACGGTCCCTCTCGATGCCCTCCTCTCGCTCCGGTGCAGCAGGGTTGTTCGCGATCGCCTCCACCCGCTTCGCACGTTTGTCGGCGGCCCGCTTCTCACTGTTCGTGCGCGCTCTTTTCTTCGATGCGTCTGCCGCCTCTTGGAACCAAGTCATCAGACCGTTTCGTACCTCAAGCGGTATCGATTCTGGACTTTCGGCGGAAGTGGGGCCACCAGCACTACGTTGGAGTGCAGAGGCACTACTACTGTTAGAAGAAGCTGAACCAGCTGCAGAGATCCGTGGTGGAACTCTGGCACGGGCACCGGCAGCAGGTGATGCGGCACCGCCGCTCCCACTACCGCTGCCGCCGCCGCTGCCGCTGTCGCCGCTGCCGCTGCCGCCGCTGCCGGCAGCAGCGGCACTTGTCTTTTGGCCGACAAATTGCACCTCCTTCTCCGAATTCCCTTCGCTTTCACTGCTATTATCCAACCTGGCTTCCATACCGCCAAGAGGCGACGGCATCGCACTGCCGTTCAGCTGTGTAGCCGTGTACAGCGCGTACGTGTCAGCTGTGTGTATGTAGTCTCACCGGGAGACGGGGCACCGTGAATATAATCGGCGACCATCGGCGACTTCACCTTTCGATACGGCGGAGCCCCCTTCAGAATCGGCGATTTTTTTTTTGTTTTCGGCGATTTTTTTTCTACCCTTTTTGCGGCGATTTTTTTCAGAAATCGGCGTTTTCGGCGATCGCCTATCGAGCAAAAGCCTAGTGCTCGAGTACTGAGGGCATTGGTGTAGTGGCCCACAGGGGAGGTGGTGGCAGCATGAGTAACGCGAGTGGTGGCTCGACCGCATCTCCCGGTGCGGGTGGTTCTTCTCCCGGTACGGGTAGTCCCGCAACGGGTTCTTCACCACTAGACCAGGTGGTGGTCGTGGCGGGCTCTTACGAGTGGAGGAGCTCCACAGCAGTCGGTAAACCTCAAGCGTCCGGAGCCGATCTTCTACTCGAACGGAGAGGAGTACTTCATACCGGAGGCTACGATGAACGCCATCGAGTCATTCGTTGTGCCGGACGGTTTCCAGCAGGAAGGGGCCCGCGAGGACTCTTTCCTGTTCAGCCTTGGAGACTCCTGCGTGCCCACTGGTATTGTGAGCAAGACATCAGCGGAGAACAAAGCTTGGTACAGGTGCCAGGTTGGCGCGTGCTTAAAGTTGAAAGGCGGCAAGATCATCCCCTGCCCGAAGGGGAATAAGAGCAACGTCAACAAGCACTTTCGTGAAGACCACCAACTGCATGGTAGCTCGGGAAAAAAGAGGAAACAGAGGGCGCAGACCAGACAAGGAAACATCGTCACAGCTATGTCGGCGGCCACGACTTGTGGCGTTGGAGCCCGAAGGTGTGTGCAGTGTCTGGTGTAATGTGTAGGTGGCATACTGCTGTCTGTACTGCACATTTTTATTTTTATTTTTTTTAGTACAGCAGTACAGGAGTTTGTATTAGTCTTCACTTGTATTTGTTGGCAACGCAGTACAGCTGCAGTTTGTACTCCATTTGCTGATATTAATATTACTCATATTTTTTAGCGCAGCAGTGTTTGCATATTATTTTCAGCATGTGTGCGACGGCAGAAAAGAAAGTTTGGGTGAGACTCTAGCTTTACGGACTTGGCAAGTAGATCGAGCAATCAACAAGGAAGTTGGGCGGGACCGCAGGCCGGCGCAGGAGACCTCACCCAACCAAATCCATCACTTGCATTGAATGATATGGGTAAGGAACAAGAATACAACATTACGTAAGGTTTACAGCCAAGCTGGTGGTTTTATTGAGCACAGCAATACTGCCGCAAAAAAAAACAAGACACGCGGCAGAGCCATCCGATCGAAGTTACGAGTCTCAGGCGTGTTTTTTTTGTTTTTGTTTTGTTTTTCCAGGGTGAAGGAACTGCAGGCGGCGAAGCAAGTCGTGGAGAAACTGTTGCCGTTTAATTTCTTCTCCAAGGGAGAGATGTTCAGGGAGATGATGGCGACCCATGCAGGAAACACGACGTATCCAGAGCTGCATCCGAAGCGTGTGAAACACATCCTCGTCGAGATGTACTGCGCCACGAAGAAGGTGAAAGTCGAAAGGTTAAGGTTGACTTTGCGCTGCCAACTTTAACTTTAGTCAAAAGCGTCAACCCCTCGACGGTGAATTCCAAATGTAAGCTTTAGTTTTGCGGTCATTGCAAACGTTGTAGGTACGTACAAACAACGCACACAACGCTAAATACGATTATAGTTCAATTAGAAAAAATAAAAATGTGACCTATTCTGCTGTTCATACCCCCCACACCACCACCGTTTCGCCGCAGGCAGTATTGGGCGACATGTTGGAGGAAGTGAGGAATGCACCGCTGCCCATTCTGCACCACATGATCGACATCTGGGCCGACAAACCATCGGGGCGCAAGTTCCTCGGTGTCCACGTCTTCTACGTGACCGCCAACTTCGAACTGAAGCAAACCCTGCTCTCTGTGAGTGAATGAACCCGCTTCGTGTTGGACGTGAACCGACCTTTGAAGATTTGTTTCTTTTGCAACCCGGGTAGCGCGTAATCTCCTAGTTTCCATCGGTTTATTTGAGGTCTATTTACTGTTTTCCAATTGCTGTCTTCTGTCTGTGCACTTTTCTCCTTTGTTTTTCACGGAGTGGTCGCGTAAATTCAATTCAATGTTCTTTTTTTTCTCCAGCACTGACCTAGGCTATTTTGTCTACCCGAACACCTGATAGAATACTTGATGCACCGATTCTTCTGCCAACTCCGTGTCTGTCCCCCTTCATTCCCCCCAGATCAAGCGCTACCGGCCCTCCCAGGACGCTCTCGGAGAGGCGAAGGCAGCGGAGGTGCTTGTCGAGATCCTCGAGGCTATCCTGCACGAGTTTGGCCTGCGCCCATCGGACCTCGCGTCGGGTACGACGGATAAGCGCTACCGGCCCTCCCAGGACGCTCTCGGAGAGGCGAAGGCAGCGGAGGTGCTTGTCGAGATCCTCGAGGCTATCCTGCACGAGTTTGGCCTGCGCCCATCGGACCTCGCGTCGGGTACGACGGATAAGCGCTACCGGCCCTCCCAGGACGCTCTCGGAGAGGCGAAGGCAGCGGAGGTGCTTGTCGAGATCCTCGAGGCTATCCTGCACGAGTTTGGCCTGCGCCCATCGGACCTCGCGTCGGGTACGACGGACAAGCGCTACCGGCCCTCCCAGGACGCTCTCGGAAAGGCGAAGGCAGCGGAGGTGCTTCTCGAGATCGTCGAGGCTATCCTGCACGAGTTTGGCCTGCGCCCATCGGACCTCGCGTCGGGTACTACGGACAGCGGATCGGACGTCAAGTCTGTGAGCGTCAACGGCCTCCATCCGAAGTATGGGGTTCTGTGGAACTGGTGTTATTGCCACCTGATGGTCAAGGCCGCCGAGGACGCCTTTGGCACCCGCCCCGACCCTCAGATGTCCAAGAACCCGGAAGCGCGCAACATGCTGAAGAACCTCATCGGCATAATAGGGACCCTCCACAAGTCCAACTTGACGGCTAAGTTCGAAGACCTTCAGGTGGACCTGTTGGGCGAGGTATTAAACATCCCCAACCAGGCCCCCCAACGTTGGCTCACCCTGGTTCGCACAATGGAACGCGTCATCCGCTTGTGGCGCGTCATGCGGAAGCTCTACAGCGACGCGGGGAAAAACTTTCCACTCGAAGAAGGCGACAACAAGGACTGCATCAATCAGCTCTACTCGCTGCTGCAGCCGCTTTCTTCCGTCACGCGTGATGGCCAGTACGGGGGTTTGCCGATGCTGGCAGACATCTACATGAAGTTTGGCATGCTCAAGATGGGCGTGCTGAACTCGTCGGCGGATCTCAAGGTCTTCGACATCCCGCCGCTTGGAGAAGACGGCCTTCCGGACCGTGAGGAACAGAAGAAACCTCTGCCGCACAAGATGGTAGCACACGACGAGTTGCACCCCGTGGCACAGAAGGCGCGCAACGAACTCTGCCGCGCGCTCGTCTCGAGGTTCTACGGTCGTGTGTGGGACGACAGTTGCCTGGATCCCTCCATGTTCTGCGATGCTGCCTGCCTCCTGACGCCGCCGTTCAGTGAGGGGAACTACCCCTCGGCGATGAAGCTTACAGCAGAGGAGGACGAGTACTTGGCTGCTGGGTCGACCGTGGTAGCCCCTACGTCGGACGAAGACGTGCGAGAGAAGCTGGAGGGAATTTGGGCGGAAATCAAGAAGCGAGCAATCACCGCCGTCAAGACAGCGCAAAATCGGGCCGCGGGTGAGGGTGGGGGCCAGGGGTCAGATCCTTTCAAGCGCGCCCGCACTAGCGGCGCGGCCCCATCTCGTCGCAAGAACTACGAGAACGACTTCTCGATGTTCGGGCGCAACGAAGTCGCCCCCTCCCAAAGCGACGAAGGAGATGTCGACTTTGTGGAGGAGGAGGTCTCGGGCGAGATCATGCGGTACAAGGGAGTCTTCATGAAGCCAAGCGACGTGAGCAACAAGATTAATATATCTGTAGCTTATTTTTATTTTCAATTTTGATTTTTTTTTTTGGTCCACATGGTTGTCGTAGGCCACGAAATTGAACTCAACACTAACACTAACACATTTCCCCCCCCCCCGATCTCGCGGCTTTTTCCCGTGCCATTCACCCTTCCAGTTGCCGCCCAGCGACGTCCTTACCTACTGGAACAAAGTAGGGGAACAAATGCTTCCCTCACTCAAGTATGTGGCGCAGCAAACATTCGGCAGTCAAGCTTCTGCCGCTCAGATCGAGCGAGACTTCAGCCACTGCGGTCTTTTCAGTACCGGGAACCGCAGTCGTGCAGAAGAGTATTGGCTGTAAATGGTGATGTTCCTCAAGGGCAATTACGAGTTTATTCCCGACTACAAGGACATCCCCAGCATTGACTCGAAGGACATTAGGAAGTGCCTCCCTGCCAAGTTCAGCGGGAAAACGATGACCTCCTGAAAGCAGAGATGGCGCTCGACCCGCTTTCGAACACCACGCCTCCCCAGGAGGATGACATTGGCGTGGGGCTCTGATTTGATTTTTATTTTTGAACACTCAATCGAGTGGGTAGATTTAGGATTCGTGCTCTACAGCGTTGGCGGTCTACAGTTAGTAGTGATTGTGATTGGTAAGGCGGAGAGGGAGGGTGCGAGGGAGCATCGAGGGGGGGGGGTTCATAACATTGGATGGTTGGCGTTGGAATCATGAGGGCGTACGCTTACATTGAGTTGTTCTCTCAGTATTGTCAGTACTGTACTAAGCGTACTATTGCGTTCAGTAGGGCTTCCCATATTGTACTAAGCGTCCTATAGCGTTTAGTACGGCTCTTCATACTGTACTAAGCGTACAAACACTTTAGTACAGCTCTCCATACTGTACTAATCGTACTATTGCTCTTAGCAGGGCTTCCCATACTGTACTGAAAACAATTTTAGTACCGCTCTCCATACTGTACTGATACTAACCTCAGTACCGATTCTCGATTCTGTACTAAACGTACTGTTGCGTTTAGTACGGCTCTCCATACTGTACTAAGCGTACTGCTGAGTTTAGTACAGGGTCTCTGTACTGTACTCAGGTGAGTACAGTATTCATCTCTCAATAACTGGACTGGTACCAACCATAGTACGGATTCTCGATACTGTACTAAAAATACTGTACTGTACCTAACCGACCCTTGAAAAGGAGCTTGACATCTTGGACGTGGCACTTTGTGAGTAGATTCAGCCCGTCCATCAACGGGAAGAACGTGCTGTGTTTGGCGAAGAAGGCTGATGATGGGACAACTTGCAAGCACCTCATGAAGTGGGACGGAGCAGCAACCGCAGCAGCAACCGGCAAGAAAGGGAAAGGGTCGGGGACTTCTGGTATTTCCAAGCACCTCGAGACAGGTCACAAGGTCGAGGTGGACAAATACAAGGTTGAAATCGGCGCAGACCAGGACCCCAAAGCGCCCATTCCAGCGGCAATCGGTGAATTTTTCTTTTTTTTGCCCAAGACTAGAGGAGTGAGGAGTAGAACGAATAACGGGGAATACAACCCCCCTTGGCAAAACTTATGAACATGTATACGTATATAGGTAGAGGTTTGCAGATTGTATGTCGCTAGATCTGCAAGGGTGAGGGAAGCTTGGTGTGTACAACAAACCCACAAGAACATTTACAACTACCAAAAAGTACAAAAATTCAAAACACTTAGTATAAACACACGAAATTCCTGAGAAAAATACATAATATACAGCTGAAATACAAAATAGATAATATACAGCAGGTTTAACACCAAGTACTCCTTATTGTAGCACTCGTCCACTACTTCTTCGGTCAAGAATGCGAAAAAAATAAGATATAGTCACGATGGCCCTGCTCGACCTTCTTGCGTTCTGACTATCTGATTCGTCTTGTCCTCCGGTGGGTGTTCTGTGATACAGTGGGGAAATCGTCAGCAGGTTCATCAGCAAGGGCACCGAGGTCAGAAGGTCCATCAGCAGGTGCACCGAGGTCATCGTTGCTAAAGAGTTTCATGGTGCCGACGATGACCAAACAACGGAGGGAAGCGACCGAACGCCGTTTCGTCCTCTGGTGCTGCATCGACCTGAGGCCGGAGCAAGTGCGGTTCGACCAAGGCCTCAAGCTCTTCTTGGGGTCTCTGTCCCCTGAGTACGTGAAAACCACAAAGGCGAAGGACGCGTTCAACCACATCTTGGACGAGATATACGGCACGGTACCCTCATCCGTCGTCGGCGAGTTGCGGACCCTACTAGAGGAGAACCTCGGCATGGGGTATTCGGGACCCTTGGTGCCCAGCTGGATCATACAACAGCGGGCGGCGAGGAATACATGACCTTCACCGTAGCGTTCGTGAAGAAAGGCAACACGGACACCACCCGCATCGCGCTTGCGACACGAGCGTTTCCCGGCAGTCACACTGCCGAGGACATCCAGCCCTGGATTGAGAAGGTGAGGCGCTATTGTTTTTGCGTTCTTCTGTTGAACTAAGGTACATACTCTGTTGAAATGTCGAAATGGTGAAAAGGTGTCTTGAGAGAACATTTTTTCTGATGTATTTTTCCTTAAGTTTGATCTATTTGTTTTATTTTTCTTAATCGTGTCCCATCCATTGTCGCCCTGCAATTCGCAGCTCACGCTAGAGTACTTTTTGGGATTCATGGGCGAGTCTGTGGTGCCATCGAACGACTTCCTCGCGTTTACGGTGGATCAAGGGAAGAACATCATCAACGCGTGTACGGCGTTGGATGTTACTGTCGTCGAGTGCAACTGCCACCGCGTCAACACCGCAGTCGTGTGGGCGTTGGGCATAGCCGCGAAAGGGAGAAAGAACCCAACGATGGGCACACTCATGAAGAAGCTGGCAGCGATGGTTGGTGTTTTCAGCCACTCCGCAGTCAACAACGACGAGCTGAAGGAGCTCCAGAGGCTGGAAGAGGGCTTTTCACGCATCTACGAGCTCCTCAGACGAAACGACACAAGGTGGTCAGTTTACTCCGAAGTATGTGATATGTGATTTGTGATTTTGTGGTTTGCGGTTTGTGGCGAAATTGAAATAACAAATAACAAATAACGTTCCACCTCTGTTCAACCGCCCCCCCCCCCACTCTCCGCTGTCCGACGATGTTTCCTTTTGCATATTCTTGAGATTCTTGTCCCCATGATAAGGTGGACCAGCCAGCTCAAGATGATGGATCGTGCCCTAGCCTTGAAGAAGCCCATTTCCGAGTTCTTCAAGAAATACCCCCAGAACGACCGAAAGCTGACACCGAACGAGTGGACCATCATCAACGAGGTGTGCAGCCTCCTGGCCGACGTTTCCGAGATCACCATACGGGTGCAAGGGTCCGTGGATACCCACATCGGCCAGGCGATGTTCATCATTCACGAGGTTATCGAGATGCTGGGGGAGGACACCCACCCAATCCGACAGCCAAACGCCACTGTTGTGCCGGTCCCAGAGGAAGGCATCCCCACGGACGACACCCCGGTGACGGACCTGACCGCGGAGGCGCCGTGCGTGCTCGAGGTGCTACTGGACGTGATGAGAAAGAAGGGGGTGGGGAGCGCTCAGGTTGCTGCGGAGCGTCTGTCCGCGTTGATGGACCCGAGGCGGAAGTTGCTTGGCAGCGATCAACTCGAGAACGGTTCTGCAGATCTCAGCAAGAAGGCCGAAGACGACTTGAAGGCGGTCATCGCTAAGTTTGACGTCGGGCCGTCCACCGAGTCTACGGCGGCGCCAGCGCCAGCGCCAGCTCCGGTGGACACGGACCCGGCGGAACCCGCACCCAAGAGGAAGACGGTCTCGAGATTGGAGTAACGACGCGCGGCACGTCTGGCGGCAGCTACCGGCGGCGTCGATGAAAGCGTTCCTCTCCAGACTCAGTCTCCCACCAAGGGCCGGCGCGTGCTGATCGAACGAGATTTTTTTGCTGTACCTGGCCAAGCAGCCACAGCTCGACGTGCAAGGTTTCAACGTTCTGGGGTATTGGAATAGGCGGGGCACTAGCAGCGTGTCCCCGACGACTGGCAAGGTCACATCTCCGGCAGAAATGCCCTACCTAGCGTTCATCGCTCGGTTGTACCTCGGGATCGAGGCCACCAGCTGTCAGGCCGAACGCAATTTCTCAGCGCGCTCCCACCTGATTGGCCAACTACGCTGCAAGATACTTCCAAGCAAGTTTGAGCGCACGATGTTCATCAGGCTGAACAGGCACTTGGTCGCCGAGGTCCGCGAGCTGGACGCTGCAGTCGCGCAGGCGAAAGCTACGGCAACCAAGACCGCACAGAGCTCAATGGCTGCTCAGGGGGAGAGGGCGAACCAGACGGTTGATCTTAGGCTGTAGACGAAAGCGGCTACGGGTGACAGCAGAAGTCTGGGCTTGCATGGGGCCGCGGGAGCTACACTCAGCTGGTTTTCTTTTTCTATTGTTCTTTTTCTTTTCTTCTTGTTTTCTTCGAGAGTACGCCTTGTCGTCTTGGCATGTTCCTGGTTTTCGATCGCATCTATCCGTCCGTCTTTTTTCTTTTCGTGTTCCATGCTTTCGTGTTGCATGTTTCCGCGTGGCTGTTCAGTTTGTCAGTTTCTCAATTTGACGATTTGATCTCGTCTCGGTGGTGCTGTCTTTGCACGAAATACCGTCAACCGCCAAAAGTACCGTCATTGCCGTGATGTTGCAGTACCGCCGAACAGGTACCGTCAAAAAAACGAAGTACCGTTAACCGCCAAAATAGTACCGTCATATTGCGGTACCGTCAAAAAAGTACCGTCAATAAAAAGAAGTACCGTCCACTGCCAAACTAGTACCGTCATTTTGCAAAACCGCCAAAAAAGTACCGGCAATTTCGGCCGTACCGTGAACCGCCAAAAGTGGTACCGTCAAAAAAACGAAGTACCGTCAACCGCCAAAAAAGTACCGGCAATTTCGGCCGTACCGTGAACCGCCAAAAGTGGTACCGTCAAAAAAACGAAGTACCGTCAACCGCCAAAAAAGTACCGTCATTTTGCTAACCGTCCCGTTTTGTGTCCGTCAAGAAAACTGGCACCGAGGACTACCCTGTATTTTTTAGTGAGATTTTCCGAGTTGGATCTGGGAATTGAAAATTTCAACAGTTCAACTGGAATTTTTCACACCGTACGAAACCGCCTTTCAAGCTTCAGAATTCTGGGTTTCCCCGCTGACTCAAAAAAGACCAGTTCAGCGATTTTCACCAGTCCGGCCCGAAAAACCACCAGTTCGGCTATTGCGCCGCTCTGAACAGGTGAAAATGAGCTGGTGTTTTTTTTTTTCAGAGCTGGTATAAAAGCCCATCTGTATTTCACCTGTTTAGTTTTTGCGTGTTCGGGAGGCGAAGCGGTACATAGCGAGATCGCGTCGTTCCCACAGCAGTTGCGCGCAACACCCAGTGGCGAGGCAGCTGGGAGTCTTGTGCATCAGTGGGTGTGGACGTGTCATTCGGTGGGTTCCGCTGGGAGAGTGATTTCTTCTGGAGAAGTGGTGTTTTTTGCACCTGGAAGTCGTCACGTCTTCTTGATTGAACCGAGATCAAAGCGCGTATCGCAAAGAGTGCCTTGGTTGTGAGTACAGGGTACTCGTGCTCGCGGCGGCGCAGGAACCCTGCGCCGCGCCGCGTACGCGTCTAGAGCGAGGCGGGCGCTGTGTTTTGCTGATTCAGCTTTCGCGGCACGCCAAGTGTGGCGGTCACGGAGTTCTTTCTGGTTGCATGGGCGACAACAGCGACGGCGTGTTAGACTTGACTCACCTGAGCACGGATAACAACTCGACTCTCTTGTACGAGACGGACTCGAACCCGGACATGTTCAGTGTCCACACCACCCCGGGGAAGCCGAGGGTGCGTCAGCCGCAGCGTTCGTCGCCTCGAATCCGCGACCGCCGGGGTACGAAGGTAGATGTTGCGAGCTTATCGCCTACCTCGTCACCTGCGAGTGGTCTCAACTCCCCGCAGACCGGGGGGGTCGCGTCATCAGCTAGCCGCAGGACGTCTCACCGCACCCCGAAGCGAACGAGTGCACCCGAGGATGAGGGGTACGAGACGAAGTACGTTAAGCCTGTTCCCCAGCGTTTCAGCCGTGCTGCCGGTGAGAAGGACGGCGGCGGCGGCGGCGGTTCTTTTGGGTCACCGTTTCTCGTCAGCTCAAGCCAAGGCAGCGGCGACAGTGAGGGGCGGAGGGAGAGTCCTCGCCGGGCACCGGGGGTAGTAGTGAGGGCGGAGGCGGCAAGGGGAAGGAGCCGGAGAGGAGAAATGCTGGGCCTGAGGTTAAAAAATCTGGCAAAGGTGTGTGCTCGAAGGATGTAGTCGTGACTATGATTGTGCGCCCTTCTGAGAGGAATTGTGAGAGGACTGAAAATATGTTCACACGTAGTCTATGTTTTCATGCGCCCGCTGTGAAGAAGGGTGTAAGTTTTGGATCCTGTACGTCATGAGGCCCCTGCACATCGTGATGTTCCCTCAACCATGTACACTTATGGCATACGTCGTGTCCGTTTCCCAGTAAGTTTTCAGTACGTGTGCTTGACTGACTGTGTTTTCTTCGCGGCGGCAATGGTNTTAGGCACCTGCACATCGTGATGTTCCCTCAACCATGTACACTTGTGGCATACGTCGTGTCCGTTTCCCAATAAGTTTGCTTGACTGATTGTGTTTTCTTCGCGGCGGCAATGGTTGAGGTATGCATGTAGCATGCCGCAGATAAAAAATGCAGAGAACAGCCTGAAAACTTTTATTAATTGTTTGCAAACGTTAGCTTCGAATCGAATGCAGGATGTGGGATCCGCAATGCCATTTTCTGTACAAGACAAATTACAGAACAATGCTGTACTTCGGTGGGGCGCCTCCCGTGAAGTGAGTGGCGACCCAACCCCTTCAAGTCGTGGCTAATGTACGACGTCCATCACCCTAACTCTTGTACCCCAACTCTCGTTTGCCTTGCATTCCTGATCAGAGACAGGCCCGCGGTGGTGGACTCAGCAGGGAGAGAGGGAGCTTCTGTGGCGGCTCATACCGAAGCACTTAGCGTCCAAGCATTCGGCCAAGAAGGCTAAGGATGAGCAGTGGTGGAAATGCGCACAGGCCCTCTCGAAGAAGGTCGAGATGACAATACGGGTCAAGGAAGTGCAAAAGGACGGCAACCTGGAACTCGTCACGAAGGTCACAGTCGACATGGGGAGGAAGATGGAGGTGGGTAGACGCTGCGGATATTATTCTTGTATTTCGGATTGCGGTTCGATCTTCATCAAGCTTAACTCGCCCAACTTAGGACTTGCTTAGGATCACGTATGCGGCGAGTAGGAGAATTCTTTAGCATCCGAGACAATGACAAGTTTTACCGTTTTTTTGTTGACGGTACCAATGAAGCCAAATAAAGCGTTGTGGGGGGCGGGGGCGGGGGCAGAAGGTATGTAT